AGAGAGAGAGTAGCCAAAATTGTCACCATGGCATAGAGCACATTGAAGTATGTCTCCAAAGGGAAGCCTAACCAGTGACATTGAGAGCTTGAGCATCAAGGGCGAGATGCACCTCGTTATTGATGTCGCAAGGCTCAGCCATTGCGCCTTTCCCTTGATCCCCACAGGCCAGTCTCTTCGAAACAGGCTCGATAACCTTGACTCCAAGGTTAGTTATTGAGTTGATCTGGTCTTTAGTGAAAGAGTTGCTCCACATTAAAGTGTTCATGGCAGGAGCCACAAAGAGAGGCTTCGTATCGTAGTCCCATGCTCTCACCACACAAGTCAGCAAGTTGTCACAGAGTCCCATTGAAATCTAGAGTGCGACACGAATTCCCAGATTGAAAACATGTTTTGGTCCCTTTTGTGGATAAACTTCTCAAATAACACCAAATTGATAAGCTAAAATAATATAAAATGGAAATGATTAACAAGTTTTAACAATGGAATAATGGCCAGCTCAGAATTCCGAGATCGAATGGGTACACTCATAGGGCATATTGCACTGAAACAGACCGTCTTGAGCTGACTTCTCTCTCTCTCACACATGCACAAAAACACACATGGGTTCTTCAAGAATGGTTGAACTCTCTACCAATGGAGAGGCCTACAAATGGGTTCAAGTATTTTCAAATAAAGGTAACACTAGCAATAGCTCAGAGAAACAACAAAGCATGGCAACACTCAGGAGGAATTATACAGTATCATAATTTTATAGTCATTCACTTCCAAAGAGAGCAGAAAGAATTTGTCATGGTTAGGGCCAGGACATTATTATTACCAGGCCACTGGTTTGTGCACTGAGAATTGGTGGCTCTAAATGACAAGTTAAACGGTCCAGGCTTTCCGCCAAAACTTTGACCTCATAACTTTTGATGATCAAACCAATAACATCAGACATGGACAATCAAAGCAACCAAATGATAAGAACAATAAGCCCTGTAACACTGCCAATAGCAGGAGAAAAAAAACGAAAAAGGAGAGCTCTAGTCGCTCTGAACCATTGGAACCCCTAAAGGAGTAGCTTACTGCAGGTTTCATGCATTTCAAGTAGATGTTGAAATATACCCCCAATCCGAAACTCTGTACATTTTCAATCACCCCCATGCAGAAGATCTCACTGCCTTCAAATCTCTAGACCTCAATAATGACTTAGGTGCCTTCAAACAGCCATAACTCCTCGCTCGTCTTGCGAAACATGGCATATTGGTACTCCATGGAAAGCCCATTCAGAGGTCTACAGCTCTATTGAAAAGGATCCCCAATCTGAAACTCTGTACGGTTCAATCACCCCCATGCAGAAGATCTCACTGCCTTGAAATCACCGGACCTCGAGAGAAGGTATTTATTAAAGAATTTTAGTTTAACTCAAACTCGCTAAAATGATTAACTATTACTTTATATCCCCTAGCCCCACAAAAGGTAAAGACTAAAGATGAAAGGGCTGAGACGGTTAACTTCGCTAGAGTGATTTAACTATTACTTTATGTAGCCGAAGTAACTCACCAAAAAAGGTTATCTTCAAGGTCCTTCTAAATGGCCAAGAAACTAGGAAACTTTGATCTAGGCTATAGAGAAAGATGGTGGCGGAAAAACTAAGGTCTAAATATTAGGATTAAAGCATTGTCATCGCATTGAGTATAGAGGTACTGAAAAAGAGTATGGGGTTTGGCAGAGAAATAGTTATCACCATAGTTGTCAGGCGCAGGTGTGTTCTTGCCTCGGGTCCGTGGAACCATGGATTGCTAGAAGCTCCTTGTGGTTAGGATCGTTGTCAATAGAATCCCTTATCAAGGGAGGGATCCTTGTCATAGGGAAGCGCAGTTCCAATAGGAAGGAATCACAGTACTAAGTTTTAAGGAATCACGAATGATGCGTGGGTTCACAGTACCATCAAGCACAAACTTCAATCAGTGCCGAATAGAGTAAACATCATATGCACTGAATCCACACTTGAGAACCGCAGTTCAAACCCACTAGGAATGAGGATCACAATATAGGAATCCGCATTCCATCCAAGATCCCTAGCTGAAATCATGGGACCAAGGTTCCAAATCGGGTCCATGACTTCCTTTCAAGGTTCCAGCCACTATGGTTATGGCTCATCCAAGGATATACAGGTACGGTTTAGCACTTGGAATTAATGGAAGGAACTACATATGGCTTCTTTCAAGGTTCAAGAGGGATTTAACAAGTGGACCCATTTTCGAAGCTTGTTCATTATGGCAGAAGAAGCCTTTTAGCAGGAGTCGTAAACAGATGATAGCCATTTTGTCTTTATTTTTATAATAAGGGATAGTAAATCAGCTTCAGTGCTCTTCATTAAATGGCAAACAAACAGAAAAACATGTCAAAAAGGGCTGCATCAAGAACAGAGCGAGAGAGAGAGTAGTAACAACTTACCTTGCCAAGTGTGTTTGCTGACAATGGAGCAATCACCATAGCATCTGCCCACTTGCGAAGTTCAATATGGCACACTTCGTCCCCTAGCTTCTTCCACGCTTGCCATTCCTTCTCATCTGTATAGAGAGTTACATGCTTAGGAATCAGTGCTGTGTCAATGAAGTGCATAGCATTCTCAGTAGCCACTGCCCTGACTTCAGCCCAATCACAGAAACAGTGACAAAGATTGGCAAATTTGATCGCAGCTACGCTTCCACTTGCGGCCAAGAGAATCCGCCGTTTACGTGATTCCACGCCACTTTGCTGAGTCTCTGCTTCCATGTTAGTTCTACACTGACTTCACAATGTCACCTGTCAAAAGAAAAAACTATATGGTTCTTATTTCCATAGATTAAGAGAAAATGAGCGCTGAAAGTAGCACATCAACCACATGGACCAAATATTTTTTAGTGAGATTATTTATTCCAAAATGGCAACATGCGTCACTATCGAAATATAGATTCTTATACTCATCAAACTAATAGCATCTATCCCATTCTAGAAATTTATCTTAGTCTAGGCATGTCGAATGTATGTTTCAGCTGCATATGTCACATTGGTACATATAATTGCATATTATCAGGAATATATTCTCTTCATGTGCAACTATGTCTTTTTCGCAGAGTGCTTACAATACATATAGTAGTAACAAAACAGGTCAGAATAATCAAGGTAACCACATCCATCTTCAAATATTTCAAATTGGAAAATTAAAAAATATAATATGATTCCATTCAACCCATTGATGGGATGGTAATAACCTCGAGGTCATGGGAATATGATGACTGTGTGGATCACATTATATGGAACCTTTCAAATTTATTTTGCCTATTCTTATTAAAGTAGCACTCGATGATATTAAAATCAGACCAAATGTCAAACCAGCAAGGATGCTAGTCTAACTCTGACCAATAGTTAGAGTGAACATATTCAAAAAAACTCTGACCAATCAGTTGAATTACTAGTTTGTAGCCAGTCCAGTTTTCTGAAGGTTGAAATAAAAATAAATAAATAAAAAAAAAAGCGCCAAAATATGTTATGTGCATATATTTTATAGAGTGGAATGAAGTTTATTCCTCACAGATTCCATAACATTTGGTTACCACTGCAATCCATGTTGAGTCAAGTTCCATGAAATGAAACTTCACGCTTTAAATGCCAATCAGTGTTTTAAAATGCGGGCGCATCATTGGCGATGTGCTCGCATCCGCATCAGAAACAGGCTCATATGCGCTTTTCACAGATGCGGCCGCATATGCGCCGCATCAGGCCTCAACATAGCCGCATCCTGCATAGGCCGCATCCCACTGCTACAGTGTCCACCGAATTTTTTTCTGTTTTGGCCCTCGGGGAGGGGCAAAATGGTCTTTTGACCATCCAAATGTTAGGGAAACTGTTTGGGGGGTATTAGGGGCCCTAAACGAAGATTTTCAGCCACTTTAGTGGCTTTTTTTTGCATCAAATCGAGGTAAAAAAAAATTTAGGCGGTTTTTTTTTTTCATTGAAATCTTTGATTTGGCGGTTGTTTGTTTGATACTTGGATGTTCATTGGATGCCTTTGATTGTTGATTTGGAGATGTTAGGGTGAATTTGTGATAAAAAATCGGGTGTTTCAGAAGTCCTAAAGAAATCGAACAGTACTTCACAGAGTCGGTAAATTTTGTTTCATTCTTGTACAATATTACTATTATACATATTTTTGGGGCAATGTCTTCTTCCCAATCTACTAATAATAAGGATCCGGCTTGGAAATATGCTAAACTAAAAAATCCCAAAGATAGAAACTGTGTGATATGCTTGCTCTGTGGAAATACTTATATGGGTGGATAACTGGATACAAAATCTCCGACAACTAATAGTTTTGAAGTTAATCATTAAACCAAAATACCTACTATCACATATATCACCTTCATATTTTTTTCTATCCATTAACTTATTTTTTAAAACTTTTTTGAACTTTTTTACATTTATTGCCCGCATCATCGCGATGCACCCTCATCCGGGCCGCATCGAGCCGCATCGCCACATTGGCCCCCCACCGCATCAGGGCCGCATCCCGCATTTTAAAACATTGATGCCAATAAATAAGGATATATGCATACAAACATGAATACACATATATGGAGAGAAAATATACCCATCCTCTAGCTCCACAAAGATTATATAAAAGACACATCCCATTTTGGGACTTGTGCCTGAAAGGGGGAACACAACCATATCAATGCCACCCAAAAACAACCAATGTAAAAAAAAAAAAGAACTCAGATTTTATTACAACCGGTTTGAATAATCAGTTTGTAACTGAGCTCAATTTTTTTTGTAACTGAGCTCGGATCTATTGGGCTGTTGCGAAAAATCTGTAAAATCACCAAATAAACACAAAAAATACGGACTCAGATTTTATTACAAGCTGATTGAATAATCAGTTTGGGATTGCAGTTTTCTGAAGGGGGAGAAGAAAAAAAAGCTCAAATATGTTATGTGCATATAAGTTTATTCCTCACAGATTCCATATCATTTGGTTACCACTGCAATCCATGTTGAGTCAAGTTCCATGAAATTAAACTTCACGCTTTTGTATGCCAATAAATATGGATATGTGCATACAAACATGAATACACATATATGGAGAGAAAATGAACCCATCCTCTAGCTCCACATAGATTATATTAAAAGCACATCCCATTTTGCAACTTGTACCTAAAAGGGGGAACACAGCCATATCAATTCCACCCAAAAACAACCAATGTATACATTTGGAAAGCACCTTTATGAATATAGAAGACCAGAGAATAAAAATCAAATATCGATTTACACCAAAACGGCGATAAGCATTCAAATACTAATCCAGCACCCATCACCAAATAGATGTATAAATGCTTCAATAGAACTAAACTACTATTACTAATGAATACAAGTTTGGATGTTCTCATGACTATAAGATATTTAGTAATCAACCCTAAATTAAGAGAATTATAGGTAAAGAATACACAAATCAAGCACAGATAAACAAGCTAAATGTACTGTATTCATGTAGAAACCAGCTAACCTGAGGAAAACAAGCAAATAACATCACAATTGTCAAGGAAAAATCTGGACATGCAATATTGATCTTGGCGTTAAAATAAATAAAGATTTATCAATATTGATCTTGGTGTTAAAATAAACAAAGAATAAACTCATAAAATAAAGAATAACCATCAGTCATAGAATACAAAAAGAGGACTAATAGAAAAACAACAATGGCTCACTTAAATGTTTTATTTGAGAGTGCTAGCATACCAATATATTTTCTTATATTGTTAAAAAGCAACAAACTAAATATGCACAAGGTATGCAAACTGTAAACATGCCTGCTCCCTGGATAACAGAAATAACATCAATGCTGTTCAGCTAGACTCTGAACCCATCATTTTCCCTTGTTTTCCTTACAGATGAACCAACTAGTTAATGGTACATGCCTCCTTGCTCACTGGCTCATGAAAATTTATAGTGATGGCTTGACTAGACACCCTTTTGGGCTCTCTATTGAAGAATCATCGTTCTGCTCTCCTTCCATGAAGTGTCTCTTGTCAAGAAAACGAACCTAAGCTTATCATCTACACCCAGTTACAACATGGAGATCTTTCCTTCCATTCATGAATGGCACATAATTGCTAACACGAGAATGACAAGAAAACATTTTTCAAAATGGAAACAGGCAAAGCCCACAAATGCCAAGAAATCACCAGGACAGTGTTAGTTTTCGGTTGAGAACAGCACCCAATTGAACGGTTTCTGCAACTCGGCACCAATCAGTTTGATCGAACCAATTTCCAACACACATTACAACCTCTCCAATAATAATTTAAATAAGATCAGGATTTGGGTGGAACTTTGAAGATCACAAAACTGCAACCACAATACTTTTGTGAACCGCTTATGGTGATCTGGAGATACCGTTGACAAACCCATATTTGCACTGGATTTAAGGGCCTGATGTTCACCACCTTTTGGTAAACAGCCTAGTGTTTATATGCATGTGTGCATCTTGTCAAGTGATGCTGATAGCCATATATTAACAGATTGCAAGCTCTTATGACCATGAAGTCATGTGGTCATGGGTGTTCCTTCTCAAGTTTGCCTAAGCATGAGCCAGACCAGTACCAAGGCTGCGCTAGAGTGAAAGGAGTAGCTTGGCTTGATGAAGAATGTTTCGAATAGAACACATTTTAAATGGCATCTTTTTAATTTGCTTGGATCAATGATCTCTACATTGTTTTGTCGTAGGGGAATGTGCTCTTTGGAATCCTTTCAAATTACAAGGTGGACATGGATTGTTTGCTACCTGGTGAGTTTATGGGGTGAATATATCTTCCAAATTTCGTTAATAGTTGAGATAATTCTGAATTCTCAGATTGTTTTTGGGATCCACTTCACTTGGACTTACAAATATTGGATTTAATGCCTAGCAATGTCTCCATTATCTATGAGAAACAGATTTCTTATTGTGTGAGTTATCAAAAAATACTCTAGTGAAAAATATGGAAACTCCCCTTTACTCTAGTGAAAAACATGTTTATATATTTATATAAATACTCTAGTGAAAAATACTCTAGCGAAAAATATGAAAAATAAGACAAAGGTCAAAAGAGATATATTCTCGGAGTTAACAGGTATATATGATTCATCTTCCTTGTTCTTCAACATATAAGAAGTCATGTAAAGAATCCTTTTTATTAATATGAGTGTTCAAAAACTCAAATTCCTTGCCTTCATGCCAAAACTAAGTCAACTCGCTGAACCAAACAGTCTCATAAAATTTAATCTATTTTTTCAAAATTTTGTGTAGAGCATTTAAAAACAGCTACGCATTTGTAATGAGAATCAGACCTAGCTCTTCACCTAAGTCACATCACAATGCTAGCACATCGAAAGAAAACATGTACTGGGATCGGGAGTGGGATCGGGAGTGGGACCGGCTGTGGGACCGAATCAGGAGCGAGTGATTTGAAAGGCTAGAAGGTCCCTAGGTTTGGGATTGCCATCTGTACACCCCAAAATTTAGGAATCTAGACCCATTACGTTGGGAGCTCAATCCCAAATTCTAGGGATCAAATGATAAGTGCTACAGACCAAGCTCCATTTGGTTAACTAGGGTTCCTTCGGCAGTAGTGCAGTCATATAATATTATTAGTAATTAATGAATTTTTAAAAGATTCAATATTTTATTAAAAAATATAAGAATATCCAATCATTCTATGATAATTTAGCATTTAACTTATTTTCTGATTAGGTAATTAAACTTATAAAACTCCTCCATGGCTACTCCCAAGCTGTCATGCCAGTCCCAAGCACAGATAAATGAGGGTTATGTTTAGTGCAGGCAGCATGAAACTTTTTTCTGAGAAATGTTAACTTTGCCAGCGTAAAACTTTGCCACATTTTTTTATGAATCCTGAACGAAATAGGATTCGTGCAGCCGAAGGGATAAGGCTCAGAGGTTGATGATGAAACAATTAACATTATAAAGAATTAAAACTTTATAAAGAATTAAGAAAATTGAATCATGATATAACACTTCTAATTTTGCATTCTTTGAGTTTAGTATATTACTTCATGTAACACAACAATAACATGGCTGTCCTTTTTGGGCGAATAGGAAGTATTAAGAGAAGTATTAAGTGGTAGCTCAAGATAATGCGTGCCTTGTTAAAAAGCCCAAAAGGGACAATATAATCTACCGCCATTAGAAATTATGTATGTGATCAAAACATGCAACTAATACAATATATAATGCTTAAAAGTGCTAATTATGCAAAATACCCACAACGTAGCATTAAGTTGGTGCTCAAGTTCTGAACTCTTGAACTATTAAAGAGGGCAAGAGGGACAGCAAAGTCTGCCAATAAGGAAATTTTGATCCCATGCTAGTAGAATCTCAGTTCAGTTCACCTATGAATTGCCATACATGATGCAAAGGAATTTCCATATTAGAGTACTTTGGGAGACAAATATTAAACGGTAGAAGATACTGTACATGACACCCAACACCTAATTGTCCAATTTGAATGATAAACTAGGTTGTAACAACAAGAAGTTTATGTGGATGAAGAGATACAAGGTACTCCATCTGCACTAGTTTCAAACTTCAATGAACTAGAACCAAGTGGAGACTCAAAATACGAAGCCCAGCTATCCCATATTGAAATTAGGAATTTACGATTCAGTATTCATCAAATTTTAGATTGTATTCATCAAATTTTAGATTAAGGAATCCCAAATGTTTTAGAATTGAAACTATTCTTTAGAGTAGGAGAACCACCTTACCACTACATGGGTTTTGCATTTTAAAAACTTAAAGAGAATACCAAAACAAGAGGAGGAAGAGGCATTGCATGGTTTTTTAAATTTCATGCTCATGGGTTCTCTCTAAGAAGTATAGAGGTACAGAACAAAGAAATTTATAGAAACAGGGGTCTCATTGAACAAATCTTAAAGATTAATTACCGCAAAAGAATAACATTAGACATGTCTTTCAAGGAATCCAACACATCAGATATGAGTTTTGACAAACCTTGTGATACTTGGACTGAAGTTGGGCATGAGTATAATTTAAAAAAAGAAAAATATCATTTAAGGGGTCAAAATACTTTACAAAGTGAACAAGGGGTCAAAAAATCCCAATTACCATTATAAGGATTACTTTTTATTTTCATTGCACTCTAGTACCTCTTCAAAAAAGAAAACAAGATTTCAAAAAACGATAGGCAGCCCCTAAGCGGCCGGCTTGGCGCCCAACGCCTAGGTGGGCGCCCAGAACCTTGGGCGGCCTGTAGTACAAGTTCTATATATATATATATGTGTGTGTGTGTGTGTGTGTATGTGTAATTGTGTCAATTTTGTAATTTATTGCATTTGAAAATATTGTATTATTGTAATTTTTTTTTTTACATACAAACATATGAGATGTCGCACGTTGAAAATAAACTTGTTCAAAATGTCAAAATTCAAACCAAACAAAATTTAAAAGTCTAATAGGATATGTATTACTAATAGTCTCCAACTCTCCGTATTCCATAATAAGTGAAAAAGTTTAGGAAGCTTCTTCAAACCACAAAAAATACTTTTGATTCTCAAAAATAGGTATAGCTACGACATTAAGGATTATGGAATTGTTCTTTTAATTTTAGGGGTTGAAAATAATCCCCATAACCTATTTAAACATTTTTGGGGGTCAAAATTACCCCTTTTTCCCTTTTAGGTATCTTTATAAAAAAGAAAAAATAAATAAAAACAAGCCCACGTCCCTAGGCTCCCACCCAGGTACATCCGCCCATATAAGGCCGCTTGGGTCTGGGCGTGCGGTATTTTGGTCCAGGGCGCCTAGGCGTCGTGCAAACCATTTTTTAAACATTTAAAAAATATATCAAAAATTGTCCAAATCACCCTTGTTCAAGATTCAAAACCCTGAACAATTAACAGCATTTCAGTAAATTGACCAACCGTGAACAAGCAAGAGTACTCCCATCGTTTGGTTGGGGCCTCTTAGATAGACACATTTATTGAAAATGAACCTGCTTGTCCAAGTTTCTCAATCCTAAACAAAGGCAATTTTTTAGATATTTTAAGAAGATGTACAGAGGTACCATAGTGAAATGACAACTAATGAGTAAACCCTTAAGCTAATTGGGTGCGCTTTGACCCCCTTAATGATTTTGTAAAAGGATTTGACCCCTTAAATGATAATTCTCATTTAGAAAAAAATTTAAAGACTAGTGAAATTCCATAAACAGAAGCATAGTGTGTTTAGAATCTCAGAAAAAGCAAAACAATCTAAGTTCATTCAAAATTAACCAAGAAGCGACAGAATAAAATCAACTTTCCATGTTCTCCTAAGCCAGATTCAGATTATATCCGAAATCTTAACATCTATATCTTCTTCTCTTGCAAGATTCTAGAATTAATATGAGAAAGATAAGGTCAAAAGAAAAAATTGAGAAGCATGCCGTTGCACATAACTGAGCCCTGGTAATAGTTTATGCCAATGATGTTTTACAAACTAGACAATGAGCTAATAACCACCCACTAAAATATTCTTGCATTCAGGAAGTCTAGCATAAAATAAATTACAGAACCAGCAAAACCGCATGCCAAGATAGGCATATTTACAGAAAAGAATACCTGGCATCCAAGGTCCAGAAAAGGAAAAAGAAAAATTGGAAAATAAATAGAAACTTTTAATCAATTATAAACTTCAACAAACAAGCAACAATTTAGGGAAATGATTTATTCTTGATAATGCATGTCATTGATTATGCATTTTATTACTTTACACCAATCCAACGGATTTATCTAGCACAGAGACAGATACATTAAGATGCATAATACTAATATTGAAACAGACACTTGAAGACTGCAAAGATACAATTTATGTGAATAACTGGGACGAGATCAGCACACAGGCCGCACTAAAGTGAAAGAAGTAGCTTGGCTTGATGAGGAATGTTCAAATGGAACATATTACGGTTTTTATTAGCAGTGACAAAGGGTATCAAAAAAGGGAAAACAAAAAGAGAAGATAAAAATACAATGAAAAGAAGATGAAAGCTCACCTGGCTCTTATGGCGGCGGTAAGCAGATGACAAGCGATTAGGGTTTCGGGGAGAGGGGCTGCAACGATCGGTATTGGAATTTTGGGGCTCCATGTGACTGAAACCCTAAGATTTTTACTCATAAAACCCCTTTCTCTCTCTAATATTTTTACTCTCTCTCACTACCCGTTCTCTCTTTCTCTCTCTAATATCTATCTTCCTCCTCTCACTACCGTCTCTCTCTAGAGTATCTATCTTCTCTTCTTTCTCAGGCATTCTAAGCCAATACCGCACCACTCCGTTGGAAGAGAGAGAGAGACGGGTTTGGGTAAAACGATGAGGGAGATGTTGGGTAAAACTAAAGGAAAACTGTTTCATGCGGGCTGGACCGCATGACTGCATATGCAGTCCAAAAAGTGTAAAGCATCCATCTTAAAGATGATGGATGCAAGTAGGGGTTCCATCTAAAAACAATGGAAACTTACGGTCCAAATGTTTTCTTATTAGAATTATTATTTCTAGTTTTTAAAATTTACTTATTTTTTCATATTCATGATTTCAATGTTAGAGATTACATGTCCTTAAAAATCAAGCCCAAAAATCCATCTCAAAAATATATTTATTAAGAGGCCCGCATTTCAACATATGTGGGCTTGGCCGCATAGAAACCGGGTCCAAAACTAAAACCCTAAAAAAACTTAAAACAAACGGATCCGGGTCAGGTACAAGGCAGATCTACCCAAAGTTGATCGGGCTCTGTGGAAGATTGCAAGGGGAGCTGTCATGTGGGAACTACGGATGGAGCATAATAGACAAACCTTCGAAGGTAATGTTTTACCGTTTGATAGAGGGCCTAATCATGTTAAAGCATACAATGTGGTGCTGGATATCTATTTCAAAAGAAAGGTGGAGAATTTTGAATGTAGATGTCTTGCTTAATTTAGCAATTTTGTTCAGGATGGGTTGGGTGCAAAGTAGGCCACGAAGTATTTGGGCTCCATCGCTTCAAGGTGGGTACAAATTAAACTTCGATGGGAAATCAGCAGGCAATCCTGAGCCAGCATGAATAGGAGGGGTTTTGAGAGATTGGAGAGGAACAATATTCACTTATGCAGGGCCCACTGGTATTGCTACTGCAAATCATGAAGAAATTTTATCTCTATTTCACGGCCTGAAGCTTTTTAAAAGTAGAAATTTGTGAGATTGTTGCATAATGGAAGGGGATTCTATGAATGTAATAAAGTCGTGCACTAAGGGACAGAAGATGCCATTGGAGTTAAATTCTATCTGGATTCAGATTTTGGACTTAGCTAAGTCGATGACCGTTTCATTCCGTCACGTGTATAGAGAGGCTAATGATTGGGCAAATGATCTTGCAAAATTTGCTAGGACTCTTGTGATCCAGTCAGAGTATATATTCTTTTTTCTTCTTTTTCAATTCTTTTTCTTTCTTTTTTCACGACTTAGATCACTCACAAGTAGTCCTTTATACAATAAATCAAAATAAATCTAGGATCTCACAACTTGATATCATTCAAAACCTTTCTTTCATTAACAAAGAAAAAGACACGACCTACGCTTGGGAATAAAGAACACAATAAGTAAATAAGCAAGAAACAAAAGAGAGTGCCAGAGATTACCTCAACAAGGCTTCTTATACCCCACACCGAGTCACCACCTTCCGATGATGCGGGATCAATGGTCAAGCTTCAATCTCAACCAAGAAAACAAGTTTAGGCCAAGCCAAACTAATGGAACATGAACCCCTTTTCAATCACAAAACTCAAACACAGGTGAACTCCCTTGATAACCTAATTGAGAAAAATAGAGCTTTTTTTTTACTACATCCTAAACCTTAGCCCCAGCACAAGATGAGAGATGGGAGAGATGAGAGACTTACCACAAGAGCAAGAGAGTGGGGCATGCCCCATAGCTCATAAGGAGAGAGAGAAACTTTCCAAGAGAAAGAGAGATATTCTAAGGGCCTATTTGAGAACTGGAAGCAAGTTCATGAACTGTAAATTGGAAGTTCCTCCTTGCTGAGAAGATATAAGTTACTGTAAGAAGTTCCTGGTTTTTGTGTTTGATAACCTCCTGGGCAGTTAAAGAAGTTCCTGGTTTCTATGTTTGATAACCTCCTAGGAAGTTAAAGAAGTTCATGGGCCTCCTCTACAGGGTTCCACTGGCTCATATTGTTATGGTACCCTTTAGCAGTTATAATAAAGCCTCGTTAGGTTGATTTCTTTAAACTAGAAGGCACTAAATATTAAGCATAAATAAATAATAAAAAGTACAAGGCATTATAGCTCAAACATAGAAAGAGAAAATGCAAAGAAAGCCAAAACAAAGTACCACAATGAATTTTAGTAATCATTGGAAGCTCAAAGTACAAATCCAGTAACCAAGTTCTACAACAACGAGAATGCATATCTATATCATCTAGACACTTTAAAGAGAAACCACGCAAAAGATTGTCATATGGAGCTTAAGGAAACTCAATGCGTTGAATATGCCAAAACCGTACAAAGTAAAACCATCATAGAATTCAACATAAAAGATCAGAATAAGAATATGCATTGATCACAATTCAACATGCTGAACTGTTTATCATTTAGCACACAAAAGGTTCCCAAGGATGCAAAAAAATACAATGTTGGAAATGTACATGTTCAACCAGAAACATAACCACCCTGTACTATTGAACCATAAATAAAGCATAACAAAAGAGAGCATAATAACAGAAATCTAATCAAATCCTATAAAAGAAAGCTAGATGATTAGTAAGGGCCTATTCTTCAAGCATAGGTTTCTCTAAGTTCAAGTTGTCGATAATTCAAATTCACATTCATAAAAACCCAAGCAAAAGGTGAATAGAATATGGCAGGTATACACAATCAGTAAGGAGCTAAATGGGCAATGAATAGACTAGAGAGCATAGAAATAGATAAGTATCAGAAGAAAGAAATATCTCATATAAGAAGAGACCCAAGGTCTCATCTGCAGTTAAAGCAATGTCTTCCATTATGAGCCATCCCATATGAAATGTCATACTCAGAATATTGTCATCAAGTCCATCCCCAGCTAATGCTCTCTCTCTACACCCACATGTTGCATGAAAACATCTCACCTAATAACTTCACCTTCCCCTCAATGACTAAATCATGCTAACTATGTGATGCCATCATAATCATTGCGGCCAATCTTATTGTTTCTTTCAAACCAAATACAGCTGAAGATCTTTATAGTATATAAGGATAGGATGCTAATATTCATGATAGAGTATTGCCACAATTTGCAGCATAATGAAGAAAACCTTCTCAATAACTCAGTAATAATTTTCTAAAGGCATTGAAAAGGTTAATGGATAAATTGAATTGTCATCCAAACGACATCCGAGCAATTTCTCAAATAAGGATGTGACATGGATTAGTTAAACAGAAATATAGAAAACAGACAAACAACATTTTAATTAGCCATGAAATTAAAGCTGATCACTTCGGAAATCAGTGTTCAATAAGAGTACTGAAACCAAATCCTCATTCATTATGAACCTGAAACCACCTTCCAATTTCCAAATTTGACTATGACCATTCCCAGAAACTAAAGTTTCTTGACATAAGTCCTAAAAACTAAAACCAATAATACTCATTTGATGCGAATAGTCTCTGAAAAATAGCATATGGGTGTCAAATTTCTTCTCTCTCTTGTTGTCATGGCATGGACAATAGGCCCTGTGCTTGGTATCACAGAACTCAAAGAAGTTGAGAATGGTGGTCTCATAGTCTGATAGGTTTGGGAGTGAAGGATCAGAGTGGTGGTGCTCAAAGTCCATAAAGGGTTCAGATTGGTGAAGAGTAAGGAGATCCAGCCTTACCCCATTACCAAAACAATCTGCAGTTGAATTGGAGAATGAGTTTAGGAGAAGAGAATATGGTTTTTTGTGGAGATTTGAACCAAGCAAGTAGAAGAAGAGGTAGAGGAGAGAGATACAGGAAAATATGAATTACCCAAACTAATCAAAACTGCTTTTTTGATGGATTACCCCAAGCCAATCTGAAAATCTGAACCAAGTCTTGTTTTTTTTCTAATCCTCTTTTTCAAATAAACTATTTTTGAAGTGGCTCCTCTAAATAATATTCGATTTGGAGCTCCAAAAGATTTAAATCTTTTGCATTGGTCCAAAATTGAGTTTGATGGTTGAGAATTCTTGGAGCTCTAATTCAATTTTTCAATTTTTTATGAGATTGTTTCCATAATAAAAAAAATATTACAAATTTTAAGGTTTGCATGAACTAGGGTGATGCTAATGTAGCAATCTCATGGTGAATCAAGCTAATCAAAATTACAGCAGTCTGGAATGAAGTATACTGATTCCAACAAGAACTCAAACTATCAAATGATTGTGCATCCATATTCTTATCATGCAGACCACCAACAAGCTCTCTAATATCTTATTATGCAAACGACCAACAAGCACTCTAATACAGATAGATTGTCAGGGAACTAGATGTCAAGCACTCAAAACAATCAGTTAACCCTGGATCTAGATTTACAACATAGAAAAATCACGAAATAAAGCTTTTGCATTGCCTTAGAACTCGATTTACAACATAGAAAACTATTAAACCAATTTAATACTACATTCAACATAGGAAATTATACAAAAAATAAGTAGATTTAACCCTAGAAATGTTTTTATAGGGTTTCCTCCAAAAAAAAAAACCTAAGAACAATGTTGCAAATAAAGAAATCCGAAATTAGTAAGAAAAAAGAATAAAAAAATGCAAAATCAACAAAGAACTCACTGATTGGAGGTACTTGTTGAGGTTGCAAGGCCGCGAATAGTACTGGGCGAGAGGCTGCCTTTACTGGGAAGAGAGAGCGAGAGAAAACTTTCGCAATGGAGCTGCTGTTTTGCTGAGCGGCTAATTGCAAAGAGAGGGGTGGTCGAGCGGCTGAGTAAAACCTAGGGCACAATTTTATCGGGGGCAGTTTTGATATAAACTTCCTTTCTCAAATTTCTGACCTTTTAGTCGGATCTTTTTTATATAGATATCAAAACTTCCCTTCCCTTTTCAAGTTCCGACTTTTTAGTTGGAACTTTTTTAACATGAACAGTGATATGTAAGTTTTTTATTTAACTTACTGCTTTTTATAAGATGAACAGTAATGCGTAAGTTCTAACTTCGAAGAAGCAACTTCTTATCAAATACGCACCTGTTTGATAACTGGAAGCAAGTTCATTAACTGTAAATTGAAAGTTCCTGAAGAACGATACATTAGTAGTTCCTGAAGAAGTTTCGGGTTTCTGTGCTTGATAATATCCCTGGGAAGTGAAGTTAAGAAGTTATTGGCTTCTGTGTTTGATAACCTCCTGCCAACTACACAAAGGTGATGTCTACTTTCTAATTTTTCTTGTATTAGAGTTAAAGTGAGACTCAAGCATCAGAGCTGAAACTCAAACAAAACATCTAGGTTAGGCAGAATGTATTATCAACCAAAAAGCAAATGAAGAAAAGAAAACAGAAAATTTGTTTTTACTCTTTAGCGGCCACCCCTCAACCCATATTTCTATCGAATCAAGCACTCAAAATTTGCACAAAAAGTACAAGTAATGAAAGGCTGTTGGTTTGAGTCCACCACCTACACCCCAACTTCGGGATAGCCACAAAGAAACTAAAGATAGAAAAGAAAAAGGAAGACAAGCATCTTAATGATCATTCTTGCTTACACAAACCTAATTTTTACAGGCATAAAGGATGCCCAGACAGACACCAGAGGAGGCAATAGGCCAACAACATTTTGAATTGTTCAAAATGGAATGCACTAACCAGAAAGATGAGAACTCATTGAAACTTTCGTTTCAGTATGAAGTGAAAAAGCAAACCACCGATAGCAGTATACCAAACGAATTGAAACACATTCATAAATCTTCTGCATCAACTAAATCCAGAACACAGCACAGGAACTGCAGTTAGTCTCAGTCCATTTTATATATGATGCATTCCAATAAATGCTGGACAGCAAATCCATTTTTCAGGTGAATTTGAGACCATATTAGTGTAGCAAAAACGCATCATATATCATAATGCAATAGGAATGCTCATTCAACAATCAACATCTTGATCAGAACCTAAAACACAGTCAGGGCAAGGCACTCAGTAAGTCAGCATCTACGCAAGCTGAGATACTTGGGAAGACTAAACTGGGACTCATCCAAGTCATCTCGGATCAATAAAAATTAGGCCAAAAACATGAAAAATAAAATAAAAATGATAAAAATCCAGAAAATAGAAACAACATAACAATAAAATATATAAAACATGGAATAGGGGTTGGCTTGAAATATATCAGAAATCTGAAAAAAGAAATTTCAAAAATAGAAAAAAGAAAAATCATAAAAGCACAAAAGCATACAAAATAAATTACAGATCAATTATATTTGATTTAATACAAAATACATAAAACCCATGAATTTAAATTTAAAAAAAGAAACGATCCCAAAATTTTGAGGCCAATCCCCAGATCTTCGTGATCGATGCAACATTGTGTCAAAGACCCCTCAAGCAACCCTAATCAAACACCCCAAGCAGTTTTGGTTTCTATGTTTAGATCTAGCTTGGATCAGAGCTCAAAGAAGCTTTAATGTATTCGTACTCTGATCAGAGCTCCAAGATCAAGCAACCCTAATCGAAAACCCCAAGCAGTTTTAATGTATTCGTAAATCAAGGATCAGAGCTCAAATAAGAGATAGAGAGAAAGATTTTACGAAAATCAGAGTCAATAGCATACCTCAATATCAGCGGACCTCAAGATCAGCGACTGAACTCGAAGAATAGAAGAGAGGGGTGCTCAGCGGCGAAGATGGGAAGCTGCGGAAAGAGCGGTGATCAGCGGCGAAGAGATGGGTGCTCAGCGGCGAAGAAGAGC